ACAGGGCCACCTCTGCAAAGCTTAAAACAGAAAGGGAGCTGCAGGCCCTACCCGGTAAAGTATTTCTGAATCTTCATCGCTGATACTAATTCAGAGAACCAAAAGATGTATGTCTCTGTGCTCATTCATATGCTTGCTTCTCAGATGGCCTGGCACTCCTAAATTCTCTTCAGATACTTTAGTTTTGGGATTTTCCTTGAATAAAAAAGGAAAATATCAAGAAAAGAATGTAAAAATTACTACAGTTGATTTTTTACCAAATTGTTTAGGATAAAGAAATAAGCAGTAAATTTGTGCCCTTTGATTCTTAGCCAGATTACCTGTAGGATCTTGATGAGAGCAAGAGGCATTGATTGCTCTTGAAAGCATCATTCCAGGTTTGTCAAAAGTGGGATAGTGAGGTGAGAAGGGGCCAGTTAGCATGCACCAGAGACGAAGCCTGGGCCTTCAGGGGAGCATGGGTTCCTGGCTCTGTTCGTATGTAGAAGGATTTGCAGCATTTTAAATTGATGAACTTGATCTGGGTCTTCAAAAATATTTTTAGGTTAGTACTATCATACGTTCCAAGGAGACTCTCAAATGTATTTTTTTCATCTAGGTATTTTTGCAGTGTTGAAGGAAAAGTGCAGACAAATTCATAAAGCTTTACAAGGGTGAGTTTTATATATTTTCAACCAACATAAAGTTTATCTGCACCACACTTAAACAACTAATGAAAAGTTTTAAATTTATAGGCTTGGGTCAGTTTGACCAAATTGCAACTAAGAAACCAAAAACTTAGTTCACTCACATTGGTTTATTTGTATAGAACCAGATCATCTGTTTTAAAGAATCATGACTTTGTTTTTCTGAAAATGAAACAAACTCATTAATAAAATATTACAACAGTACAGAAGATAGAAAGATGAAAATAACAACCCAACGTCTTACCACTGGAAATAACCAGGGTAAACATTGAAGCATCTCTCCATGTCCGCACACATACAGGGATGCCATTATATATTACATAATTAGATGACTGGGTTCATACCATCTGTGTTACTTTTTAGTAAATTACTAAGTTTTAACACAAGAAAAATAAGTGAAATTTTGTGAGTGTTTCTTTTTTCTTTCTTTTTTTTAAACTACACAAGAGTCACTCTTTAAGATTCCTCTGTAGTTAAAAAAAGATCGAGGTTGGTGCTGTCTCCACGCACATTCCTGGTCTTATAGAAACTGATTTCACGTTGCCCAAGGTATTTCTTTTTGCCTTTCCTAAGGTGAGACATGCTTTCTTGGTCATGAAAGTCATCTCTCTGTTCCAGATACGGAAACTGGAGACTTTAACTAAAAGAAAAGGACAATTGATAAATGAGTACATCACAGCTGTTCCAGATAAAGAAGGGGCAGAGACAATAAGTTCTGGGTGTGTCTGTGTGATAGTAACAGCAGTTCTTGCATGATTTATGGTAGGGAGATATATTTGTATTGGTTCCAGTTCCATTGGTTTGTGAAATATTAATATGCCAACACAGCCTAGCGTATTGGAGTCACTGGAAATTGATCAGCGGCAGCCTCACATACCCTTCACTCTATGGTGTTAACCTGTCTTAGTTTCTAAGTCCAATCCTCCACTTTCCCCAGCTCTGTCACACTTTTTCTTTCCAAAATTCCTAACCCTCTGTCTTCACTCCCCTCACTTTCAGCTAACAACCTGGCCTTATGCTGTCACTTGGGACTCTGTCATATTTCCTGACAAATCTACACGCCTATGGTATCTGAACCAGTCTTCCCTCCTGTAGACCAATAAATGTTGCTCCAACAACCACAGGCCCTTTTTTAAGGACTGAGTGCCTTTGCTTGTCCCTGCTACTTTGTCATCAGCCTGTTCCCTTTTTTGCATCATTTGATTAGCAGTCACGTCCACTTTAAATTCCTCTTGCCTGTCACCCGACATTTCCCTCTGCAACTTCCCATGTCTTTACTCCTCTCAGTAGCTATCATCTCCACGTCTTCATTTGCACTGGCAGCTCTGAGACCTGGCTTCTGCTACTGCCCTTCATCTGGACTGTTTTTGTGGAGGTCTCCACTGACTACTGAATCCAGTGGACCGTCTTCAGAGCTCATCTTGATGTCCCCATAGTTTTCAGCACAGGTGACCACTCTTTCCTTCTTTGGACTCTGCTACACTGCACGCCTGGATTTCCTCTTACATCTTTGAATGGTTCCATCTCGGTCTCTGAAGGCTTTCTTTCAACACCTTGTTCTTCGAGGCTTTGTTTGTGATTCTGTTCTTCTCATTACCTTCTTCCACACCTGGAGCTCCACATCATTTCATGACACCTGTATGTAGACAGCTCCCAGCTTCATATCTCCACCCTGGACCACTGCAGCTCCAGGTCTCACACTCAGTTGCCTACTCAGTATCCACAGTTGGAAGACTCCACGGCACCTCATAGCAAACACGCATTCAAAAGGGTCGCAGGAGCAAACGTGCTGGTATCTAGATGGTTACAGAGAAGAGTGAAAAAACAGCAAAGAGGTCAAAGTTACAGGAGGGAAGGAGTAGGGAATCTAGTGGAAGATGAAGTCTGGGTCCTGGGCCATCCACACACAGGGACTTGTGAGCCCTGATGAGAGCTTTGACACACAGAGAAAGTCCTGGCATGGTTTTGAGCAAAAAAGTGACACACCCTGTCGGATACCCTAGCAAAATTACTTTTGCATGGTGTGAAAAAATACATTGAACAGCAATAAGAACAGAAGCAGGGAGACCAGTTAGGAGATTGACGCAGGCGAAAGGTGATGGTGACTCTGACCATGGTGGGATC